GCTTGAGCTAAAAGAGTCACTAGTAGCTATCATGAGCTGTACAACTGCATAACAAAAAGACAAGGTACATATTTTGCCTGTAGGTTTTATAGGTACATAGTAATAGAAAAGGAACAGTGAAATTCTAAAATCCTGTGTTCAGATTTTATGCTCTGCCCACACTTCTTGTGCAACCATTTTTGCCAGTCCTAATTTCAAATTTTTTTCTTGCCTCTTAGTCCTTTCTCATTCCTATCTTTCTTTCCTAGTCTATGTCCCTATTTTTCAGTCCTGCCATCCTGCTTCTAAATTTCAATGGTAATCTAATTTTAAATTAGGCCTAGTCCCTCAACTAGTTTGCCATTAAATACTGAACTCAGGCTCTACATTCCATCATACTCAGCTTTCTTCATCAGTTCTTACAGCCTTTCTTGTCTTTGCTGGCTTTCGAACTTGGTTTAATTCTAGGGGAATTTTAATCCAAATTCAGTCTCCCTCTTCAACATTTTCTCCCAGTATAAAGTTCCAACCTTTTCCCTACCCTTTTTATATGGACCAGTTTCCCTGTAGAAGCTCATAGGAGCAAACCTGATTTCTCATCTTCAGCCTCTTTCCTGCTTCCAGTGTCTTGGTCCTACAGTTCCCTTGCAGTGCCAGCCTCCATCCTAGTGTCAGCAACACAGTCTGTACAATCTCCTACCCGTCTTTATAAGGCATGAAGACCATACCTCTCTTCAGTAGTCTTTTAAGGACCTAGGAGGTCAAGAATATGAAAATAAGTTTGCCAGATGGCATCCTGACCAGCTCAGCTAAGTCAGGTTAGATTGATAAGTCATTTTTCTCTGTTGTGATTTGTTTCTTGCCCTGTGATAGTACCAATACAGAGAAAAGCTTATAAATCATCATGAAGGAGTAGAATAATGTTGGCAAAACTATAGCAGCACAAGCAGCACAAGCCACACAAGGAAAAGATGCTATTATTCATCCCTTGTGTAACTATATTCTGTATTTATCTTGTAAAAACTTTTGTCAGCATAAAGACATATGCCACCAGAAGTCTACAGGGGTAGTAATCACTGAGTTAGAAGGATAATATTTCAGTGAAAATTAAACATAAAAAATCCCCACTCTGATGCCACAGTTAAAGTATTAAGTCCAAATAGACAAAGCCAGAATGTACTATGTTAAGGGTAAGACAAGCTTATCATAACAACGTCAACCGAGATGTATTGTACTTTCAAAGAGGAACTGTGACAAAGAAATTTTGTGACCCAGATTGTCTTCGTGCTTTATTGTAGCCACCTAAAAATGGCTGAATGCTTGTCTTTATAGGAGTGAAATATATAAAACTTATGGAGGCTCTAAATACCACGACTTTGAATTTCTTACTATTCTGGTATTTATCAACTGTATGGGCTTTATTTAGCATGCAGGAGTTGTGCAGGAGAAGTACTTATGCAGGACTGTTTTAACACCCCAAAACCCCAAGACAGTGCAGTTCCCATCAAAAGAGATGGCTTCTTATCCTTCTAAATTTTACCAGAAGGGCTGGCTTCTTCAAATGGTTCAGCTAGCTAAAGCTTCCCCAGGACATCACATGCTCTCCTGCTACTGATATTCTCCTCTCTCTCCTCTCATCTCCTGCCAGCCCTCCAAGTGCTGAGGGAAACATAAAAGCATTTCCCACCTCTCACTGAGCAGAAGACATTTTGCTGCCTAAGCCAACAGAATGGGGACATACCAAAACCAGAATTGCACCTCAATTATAACTGCTATGGTTATTTTTAATACTAATTCTATTCTACTTTCCATTATCTCAACTAATCTCTTCAAAACTAAAAAATAATGTATTTACCCCTACTGATTTTGTAATTTCCATTTGACAAAATCGATTCCCTTGCACCCCTCTGTTTCTGTTCCAGCTAAAATTAATGCATTTTTAATTTGCTTCCTTTAAGCCCTAGCAAGATCAAAGATGGTAACCAAGCTCTGGGAATTTTGCAAAATTTATTCATTAGTAGTCTGATAGCAGAAGGAGTGTATTCTTAATTTTTTTGTTTATTATTTTCCAATAATAGAGGAGGGGATGTATAAATGGGTGAAAATAAAAGAGATTTTTGAAAGCTTTATAAGCAACAGTCAATAAGAATCTTCAACTAATTCAAGACACTCTAAATCCTTTAGTTTCACTCTCTATTGCACTAAAATGAAGTCACAGTGTATTTTTTTATTTAAAAATCTGTTTATTTTCTCACGATGAGAAAGAAATCCATTCATCTCTTCACAAAGCCATGTTGTACTTTAAGATAAGTGTCCAATACATATACAGAAGCAAGCTTGCCCTATCTGATGAAGATAAATTGATTTACTCATCATATTTTTCTCTCCCTTACTTAAACCCCACTTTCATGAAATCAATTAACCAATATTTTCAAAAGCTGAAGAGAGGTTATTCCATGTTGTGAAGAAATTTCATTGTTGGGAAAAATTTTCCTCATGAAAATATTGAGGATGACAGGCAAAAGTGGTATGCCTAAATGTTATATGGACTTTACTGTCACACTTATATACAAGTAGAAACTGAAGCAATCACAAATTAATAGGATCCAAAGTACTTAAAAAATTTTGGAACTTTGTACTCCTCCGTAACAGCAATCTGCTCTGTCATGGCACAGCTAATTCAAAACACATTAATGTACTTTTTCATGCAGCACTACTTTTATTTATTTGTCAGTATAGATATTGTTTGTGAAAATTTCTATTGCCAGTCATTTCTATTGCGTATTCATAGACAGAAAATAGTTTATCGGTAAATAATATCTGCAGAAAATGGAAATGTCACTCTTGTAAGACATAAGTAAAGACTGTCACATCTTTCAGTCAAGTCCTAAAACCAGTTTTATCTGCCCTGCCAACTCAAAGACAGAAAATATATGACTAGTAAACATTTATCCTGGATACCTAATTTGTTTTACATTAGGAAAACTGTTGTCTTCTATGATTCATGCTTGTGTTTCGGAGTGGGATATCCAAATAAAGCATTCTTTAAAGTTTACAGAACAAAATGCATTTTTTACTTAATTCCAGAATACTGAAGAGAGTGCCTTAATAGCCTTGAATGTTTGGTATCACTCAGAGCAAAGCAGCTCATTGGTCAGCATCAAGATATCCGAAAGTTTATCTCTCTTATACTGAGCGGTATAGCTGATCATATATATATGATACATATATATGATCATATATAACTGATCATTATATATAACTGATCTTAAATAATTTTTAACATCCAGCTGTGCTTAAACAATTGCAATTTGCAGTTGTTGATGGGCCCGTTGAAGAACAGGGGCACTGTAGAATTAAAAAAAAAATAATAAAGCAATTGCTTAGTGACAGTTGATTGTAGTACCTGTTCATTTCTATTTGAAATGTATGTATTGTGAAAATGATAAAGTTCTGAGGATGATAAAGGTTATTAAGTAAATGGTTTTACATGTTAGACTGTCAGTATCTTGTGTAAATTCACTGATTTAAAAAGGCTTGTACCAATGTAGCTGAAAACATATTTGCAACGTATAATTTAATTTTTCTGGAAAGTAAAATACTTGTCATCTCTGGTTAAGGAACTTTAATGTATGAAGTGGAAGCTTCTTGACAAATATATATATAAGACTCTGGCAGCATAAACTGATATAGTACAGTGGGTTCTTTGCACAGGTACAGAAAGCGTGGTTTCTAATTCTCTCCATCCAGAGTATCCCGTTTCTGGTATAGAAATTTTTTATATCTTTAGTTTGTTTTAACATATTTTGTATTTATTCTTCATTATTTTTTACAATGAATAATATTTGGAATTTAATTAATAAACATTTAAGCAAACCTCACAGGACAGAATAGTAGGGGGAAGTATTAGGTGGTTGTGTTGTTAGGGTGTCAGAGTGCTACACCCAGTACCAGAAGTAATTCCTTAATAACCTCAGTCTTAAATCCTCTTAGAAACTGAGTTAACTCTCCCTTGTCTATCTAAAGTCAAAGCCTTTTAAGGGAAGGATGCATCTTGTTGTGACAGACTCCCTACCATTGTAATCATGGAAAAAAATAACACATTACTAAAAAAAAAAAAAAATTAATAATAGAGCTCTTCTCTGACCACACATAGAGGGAAACAAAAAGAGAAATCTGATGAGCTTTTGGAATATTGTTCTACTTATTTTGGCTGTAAATGACTCTTTATTACTTTTTAGAATAAATATATTCAGATGCGCATAGGAACTGCATTTGGCACTACTCTATAATAATACTAATTTTGTTTCTCTGTTTCATGAGCATTCCTCTTAATGCTTTTTCTATCAAAATAATTTCTATTCACCGTTTTCCCTATTTTTAAATAAAACCATTTAATTAAAAGTACTTCATGTGTGAAAAGAAGCTCCACGAGAAAAATATCAAATGAACAATACATACATGAAGTGCTGTACTACTCCTGAGCTGAAACTAATTTTTGACAGAAAATGTGCTGTACCAAAAATTACAGAGACAGTTGTACTTCAATTCTGATCAGTCTTAAAGTAAACTTTTGAAATTTCAATCAAAATTAGAAATAGAGAGCTGTTTAAACAGCATTTTCTCTTGGCTTCTACTAATTTATGAGAAATCTGGGTGTAATGTCTATCTAAACCAGATATGATCCAAAAACATTTCATAACAGCTGTGAATCTACCAGAAGGAGCCCTCTGGATGCTAAAACAACATACTAAGTGAGAGTGGGGATTTGAATTCACTTTGACATTTTACAACCACCTCCACTGCCCACCTCTCATTATAAAGAGTGAAGAGCTGATGTTTGACTCCAACTCTCAGAGTCTAAAAAGGGGATCAAGAAAGCCCTAATACTAAACCATTCAGGATCTTTGAATGCGACACATGAACAGAGTCAGCACAGCTGTGACCATCCAGGAAAGGTAGCAAAACAATTAGAAAATTGTATTAACAGAGCAACAAGAAAAGAGTTTTTTTCCTCTCACCTTTTTCTTCATTTTTACGTTTTTGAAAATTGCATGAACTCTCCACGTTTTTGCAAACATTGCTCCAAATGCAGTTGTGTATCCCACTGTAAGAATCCATGTTCGGACCTAAAAATGTATATACATAAATAAACGCAAAGTCATTTAATTTTCAGTACAAAATTTGGATATCACAATTTCAGCCAACTTGTTTCTCAAGGCCTCAGGAAAATAATATTCAAAGAACTTCACAAAAATGTTGACATTTCAAAATTTCTCATTGCTTGTTTTTTTAATTCCTCCCTTCATCCTCTCTCCAACTAAAACAAATCTGGATGCTGAATTAACCATCTCTTTCATGCATAAAATCACAAATCTCTTACCATATTCTGCATTTTTGTTCACTTGTGTTCCGTGCAGAGAGAGGAAAGAACTAGTGGAGGAACTCAAGAGACAGACTATAAACAGTACTCAGTGAGCTAATATTAACAGCAACATTTTGATCAGAAATGAATAGAGAAATAGAGATGTTATTCAGACTAAATAATATAAAATTGTACTATGTGAGGTATGTATCACTCAATGAAAACCTTGAGCATTCTGGAAAAATAAGAAAAGAGGAACATAGCCTTGGTAGGCAGGCCCTGGGGACAAGACCTGAATCAATATCTGCAAATGGTGCCTAAGAAAAAGGAGATGGTGAGCTTGCACAGAGCAATGGAGTAATAGGACCCTGAACTGGCAACAGCTATGACATAGACCTATCTAGACATTTTGCTCTTGGTGAGCTTCCCAGAGAAAACCAGAAAATTTCAAAACTAAAGTAGATCCAATGTATTTAGTGTAAAAGAGTAAGTTTTTTGTGTTTGTTTTTGTTTGTTTGTTTGTTTGTTTGTTTCCTAATAGAAAAGCTTCAAATTGATTAAGAAGGACAGAACACATGTTTTTTTCTGCAATTTCCCACCTGCCCCTAGCCTCTTGTGCATAGGCCCTCATTTCAGACTTGCTTTGAGCTGGAAAGTTACTTTCAGAGTTGTAGTAAATTCTGCACAACCCTCCCTAATTCCTTGGAAGTCTCTCTTCATAGGTTTGGCTGTTTGAAAGCTACTCTGCCCTCAGCAGGCCATCTTCTTCCCCAAAAATGGATCAGACACTACAGAGCATAGCAGGTAGAAGGCAGAAAACCATGCAAGAGGCATAGCATGGAGCTGGAAGCCAATAGCTGAGAAATTCCAAGGAGGAAGAATAACATCATCCTCTTTCTAGAGACTCCACATGGACCAGCTGCCAAAAGGGAGACAGCACAAAAGCAAAGAAAGAAGTGGGAAAAAAAAAAAATACTGCCCCTTGAAGATGAAGAAAATGGGGAAGAGGCAATGACTAAAGAAAGGGAAGGGAAAGCTACAGAAAGGTAAAGCTGGACTTCTTTTGGCCATTTTGATCGTGCATCCTTGGCCAGTGCTGTTTTGTGATATAAAAGCAATGTGATTTGGAGAAACCAGCACATTTTGAGAAAGTATTTGGAAAATAACCCTTAGATGACCTAAAAGCAATGTTTTTCATTGGAAACCAGGCTAGTTTCACACCTAACATCTGGAGAGTTTGAGATTTTTAATATGTAACTTCAGGATATGCATATTGATGAGAAACCAGGTGTTCTAGTAAGCTGCAAAACTTGGCATCTTACATAAATGTGAGTAATAATCTAAACGCTTCATTTCTAAATACGTGATATCTAGTTTTTGCCTTTCCAAACTTTTTCAGAATTTCCATTTTTGTATTCAAAACATGGGTCTTTTTTTCCTCTCAAAATTTTCTGTGGAAAAGAAATTCTGAGTTTTTGTAAGTATTAGTGATTGGGCATCGAAGCAGGAAAGAAAAGATATGAAAAAAAACATATACACATTCAAAAATATTGATAAAGTAATAAGAGACATAAAATTACTAATAAATAAATAAATAAAGTAAATTTTTGATCTATAATGGTTGGGATTATGTATAGAAGACTGTTTAGATATATTTTAACATTTTAGATGCATCTAATGTTGTGGTTTTTCTTTTGCATTGCTCATACTGACCCTGAATGTGGAGTTCACTGATTGCTGGTTATTCTTGCTATTAATAAAACTGATAAACCAACTGCAATTAGATTCAAGCCCCAGGAGTTTTGCCACTTAGTGACATTCTTGAATGTGATATTGAAAAAGAAGTCCCTAACAAAAAAAAAAAAAAAAAAAAAAAAAATTTTGACATTTAGGTCAGCAAAGTATTATTTTTAACTGAAATATTTCTCAGGTCATTATCCACTGTCATACATTATGCTTCAGCAAAACCACTGTTAGATTAACTGTGAGTGATTTAACAAATACGTTTCATATCTACGTGTTCATCTTAGCCATTACGTCTTTTTTTGACTTCACATCAATAACCACACTTAGCATTCAATCTTTTTGCTGCTATTAATAAGTATTCAGCTCTTTTGTGTACAGTTTAGTGATATATTTGGCAAACAAATACATGGTATTTTCGTGTCTCTAATAAGACTCTGTTTTGTTCTCACTGAAACAGTAATTGTCTCTTGGGAATAGTAATAAATTCAATTATGCTCATAATATGTTTCTAACCCAATATTCAGAAAAATGTTATTTCTAGAATATTTGATTCAAAAAGTTTAACATATTCCTGATCTGGATTGTGCATATTAGAATAACATAACCACTATCTGTATTGGAAACATCCTGAAACATATCAGGAGATTTTGTCAAAATGAGATCACTGTTGCTGACAAGGAGATGGTAAGTTTCATATGAAAATAAATTTTTAATTTTGAAGAAAATTACCTCGAATTTTCATAATTCATTAATGCAGCTGGCAAAATGAAAAAATTAGAAAAGAGCAGAAGTCTCTGAAATTCATATATCTGCTCATTTATATTATTAAATGTATTATACCTCCAAATCCCACTCATTTGAATGCACATGATAAAAATAACACCAATAACTGCAGAACACGAACATTATGTTATAGAATTGATCAGTAATTCTCTCATGTTGGAAATTTATAATGATGTGTTTCAACAGAGGAAGCTAAAAGAAGATCACCCTTCACTCTGTATCCATCAAATGAGCAGGAAAGACGTCTCTTAGTAGATAAGAACTTGCATTCAAATATGTATTCCAAACTAGACACAAAACTTTTTTTTTTTTAATTAAATGGTTAGGTCATTACAAAATTCCTCATGCTTTCGATTAATTTTAGGATATACGGACTAATTGAATATCTCCTGCAAATATTTTGTTCTCTATAATTCAAACACAATGCAGAAGTGTCAAAGGAAATTATATTATTTGGTATACAACAGTCCTTATACAGATAGTAAAACGCAGTCTCCTAGTTCTCTTTCCTTTATACTTACTACACTATTTTGGTTTAGGGCCTATTTTTGAAAATACCATGTAGGAATTTGTGCTTTTTATAAATTACTTTATAGAAGCTCTTACAGGTGCATTGCTTGTGACAGCTAAAAAAAATTAGAAATCATTTATCTGGTGAACAGCACTGTTAACAACCACCAAACTCTGAAATCGTCTCCATAAAGAAGCAGACCTTTCTGGGCAATTTTTTTGAATGGGATAATGAAACAGCTTCAAGAACTCCTTCTTCACTTAGTAAAACATTTAAATTATCTTTCTGTAGTGGAATCGCTTAGATTTAAAATTCTTGAAATAAATTTTTTACCATCTCAAAATGTTAATTTCAATGTGTGTGGGGTTTTGTTTTTTGTTTGTTTGTTTGTGTTTTTTTTGATTAGGGTGGTTTTTTTGCTTTTGGTTGGTTGGTTGGTTTTGGGGATTTGGTTTTGGTTGTTTGGTTGTGGTTTTTTTTGGGGGGGGAGGGTTGTTTGGTTTGGGTTTCTTTTGGGTTTTGTTTTGGTTTGCTTTGCTTTTTAATATAAACTTTCAAATCTTCCTTTTGTAAGACATGACACTCAGACACTCTTCAGCTTAATATATGAGACTCAGACTGATTAATTTAGGGAATGTCAATAATTAGCCAGTTCTACACACACACACTGGGTGGAAGCTGCAGTGCCCACAGGATTAGGCTGCAGCTGAACATTACTGCTGAGCATCTTGGAGGCATCTCATACTAAACTTAGGCACTTAAAAGGGACAAATGTGAGAATAAACCATGCTGTGGGTTTAGCCCTGGAGAGCACAATTATGTTTAAGAGGACAATTCTGTTGATTCCTATGGACTACTCAGGAGTTGAAAATTAAGCACCTTCTATTTTTCATGGCAAACAATTATTATGAACAAAAATGTGTTATCTCCACAAGTTTTCACTGGGTTGTGATCCTACTTCTATTAAACATGGCAAAATTTCTTCTGCAGGTCTGCACAAGCAGAACAAAAATAATGAGTTCATCCCTTTGAATTATACTTTTCACATTTATATCAAACATTTTTGACAAATTTTTATGACTCTTAACACATTTTTTAGAATTTGCGTGGCACCCGCACAGATTCCTGCAAAACGTTAAGTGGCAATAATGTTATAGAATTGAATCCTGCTGTTTTCACATAAATTAAGTACAGTGGCTCATCACATGCTGTGAGATCTCCCGTGGTGATTTCTTAATATACTTTAGATCATTTTTCAGAGTTAATCTGTGGGCAGAGTAGAAGATGTTACAATTTCTCCTTTTTCTATAAGGAGGTTCTAAAATCTGTCTGCTGTCCTACTGAAGGAGAAGCAAAACATTCTAAAAATATTATCTTAATAAATCTCTGGCAAGGTTGTGGTGTATTTGCTTCAGCACACAACATAATTTTGTTTCCAGGATCTATTTAGCCTCATAACTTTTGTTTTTACCCTTTTTTTTTACCCCCAAGAAAATGTCATTTACTAAAATAGAAGCTGATCAGGCTCATGTTAAACTCAGTAACAGAATTGCCTTTGAATTAAATAGGAGTGAGATCAGTCTCAGGCTGAACGACAGTGAGGACAATTATGGAAGTGATTATACAAAAAAGGGATTAAAATTAACAGCTAAACAATTAAGTAGGAAATAAACTGAAGAATACACACAAAATTAAAAAGGCCAGATGAAAAAAACAAACAAAGG